TAAGAAGATTACTTTACGCTAGATGACACACGATTTCTTCTAGCTCTTCAGATAATAAAAAAACTTTTATGTTTCAAGGTAGAGTTTCATTGTTTTATTATTAGAAATTTTGTCAATTATGGGAGTATACTTGGCCGTCTTGGTGGTCACCCAGTAGGACTCCAACGTTAAACCTACTGATCAATGCGCTTTTCATAATTTTTATCCCTATCATACATCCTATAAAAGAGGCAAAAAATCAGGCAACATTATTTAAGAGACGGAACCGCACGCTGTTTATCTTTAGCACTTATGGAATCATACTTTTGAAATGGTTCTAGGTGACGGAACGAAGTGGGTGGTCGAGAACAGAGAAGGAGGGGCGGAGCTTGAGCCACCGTCGTCCCATGTGTTGTCACCCCCGTCCCCACGAAGTGTCCTCCACGTTGCTCTTCAACCCTTCATCATCTTCACCACCAAATCTACCGGCACAACAGCATCAACCGTGCAGTGGTCTGGACGCGCGTAGTCTACGGCGGTGGCTGGCGGCAGAGACTTCGGACACAAGCACTAAGGAGCGTACGCACACCTGTCAACGACGAAATCGGCGCTCCTTTCGAAGACCTGGAGGTCAGCGCTCCACATCTGGGACTGCTTACGAGACAGTTGAGCTAGCCAGCAACTGGATGGACGATCCTGACGGCGCTATAGACCGACCTATGGCGAAATTGCCTTGTGAAATTTTTCTTAATCGGTTACTTAGGACTCGGGTTAGTCGTGCAACCATTAGAAATTCTGCCCTACAGGGTCTATTGTGTTCGTTTATTTCACCTGTTTTAGACTATCATTGTCATTGAATCTGTTCGTGATTCTAAGGTTATTGTGAGCATTATAAAATTAATATTTTGTGGTTGAATAAAGTGGCTTTCATTGGTCTACACGGCGTCAGCAGTTTCACGCACATTCTGGTCAAGTTTGTGCAGCAATCTTACATCGAGTCAGGTAAATTTTGGTGTGAAAATATCGTTTTACCACTTTTTAACATTTAACATTGGTCTTTGCACCCACATTTTATTTCATCCTTAGCTTTAGGTACGATTTGAATAATTGACTTTTATCACAGGGTTAATCATGGTTTTGAACCCATCCAAATACTTTACTTATTTGTCCCACACTTCATGCTTCTGTCGCCATTAACAACGTGCGACAGTACAGTTATGTATATGGCAGATTGTGATTATGGTCCTGGAGTGCTTGTAGAGTCGCTGAAGAAATTGATTGGTCTTCTTTTACACCCACTTTTTTGTACACCTGATTTCTCACGCCGTATGTCGGCATTCTTCCTGCAAAGCTTCACTTCAAGTCGCTTAGGTCTGCCAACTAGGCACTTGCTTGCTATTTCAAGGCGCTCAAGGCCATTAAAGTGATGGACTGTTTCATTAATAATGCATTAACGAGGTTTGTGTGTGTCACTATCCTATGTCAGACGTACTTATTTTTAAGCAAATAGTCTGCGACACTTCTACTTAATCATGTTTATTTAATCTAATCGCCATGTTCATTCAAGCATCGTTAATGATCCGTTGGAAGGGGTCATGCAGATGGTCTTAGATTATTTCTAGTCTTGGGATATCACTGGGGTAAAGCTTGATCTGATGCATACACATTATGTATAGAAATCGGACATCTCGTGTTTCGAACTTTGTAATCTCCAAAGTCCATCTTAGCGTCTGTTTTACCAACACTTGATAGAATGTCAAGGATCTATGATCAAGACTGGAGTAATCTTTTGTTCATAACATTTGATAAAAATTATAGCATTTCCAAAGTGCCTTTGCCACTGCACCACAACGTCATTCTTCCGCATTTTCATCTGCAGGTCTCTGTGGCGAAGTATATGGAGAGGGTGGTGGAATTGATTTTCGGCGCAGTGATGGGCCCACAAAGCCCACCTCTTTGCATCAAATTTCTCTTCGACTTTCTAGACCTGCAGGCTGAAGCACTTGGTATCCATGATCCGGGTGTTCTGCACGCCTGGAAGGCCAACTGGTGAGTCAGTCGCCTTTATTGGGGTTGGTGAAATGAAGTATTTACTAAACTTTTGCCCTCAAATCAGTACACTTTGTGGGATGAGATGTAGTTTGATTAACGACTTTATACCATTGTTCTCAATACTATAGTCTCCATCTGCGATTTTGGAATCAGATTATAATCAACTTGGACTACGTCTTTGACATTCCCCTCTTGCGTAACACGGCTCTTGAGAGGTCGTTCCACTCGTTTAGTCAGGCTATCACTTACGCCTGCTCCCCCGTGCTTGACAAGGTGACTATGGACTCACCCATCAACAAGGCACTCTTTTCCAGTGACATTGAGGTACTTCTGCGCTCAGGTTTCTCATTTTAATTTTATCAATATAACTAATGCTTAACAGAAAAATTATCATCGTCCAGCAGCTCGGGGAATGAGAATTATGTTGATTTCACAATGGGGCTAAATGGCGGTGGCTGGTGAATAAAGTGCCACTGATGAAGTCGCACTTACATAAAATATAAGGAAAATCAAGCACAATGCTAAACCACAAGTGCCATCAACAATACCATAATTAAACTTGAGGTCATGTTAGTAATCACTTTGGCAAGCGATTCTAAAGGGGACTTTTTTGCCAAACTTCATACCAAATTTTCGTCTCTACATTCGTAAGTAGAGGATGCGAAAGTTCATATTTTGGAGTATTCGCCAAAACCCACTTGTTTAGCAGATGGCGTAAAAGCGGTCAGTAGAAGGGTTCAGCTCTGCGTTGCTGTTAGTTAAGTAGCAATCTAGTCATATTTTAAACTTCTTTTTCTTGTTGGAAAGCAGCTAGATGTGTCTTTTTTTAAGTTGCAAAAATGAAGGCGCATCAGCAGTTTTCAGATGGTGATGACATTGCTAGATCCTCAAAGGCGCGAAAATGAGAATACGGATTCCGATCCACACTCGATACGAACCCTTCGGGTGGGAATTGATGCCTTTTTCGTTATGCGAAAAGTCTAGCTGCACGGGAATTAAAATGAGTGTTGCATTACCAGAAATTACCGTATATGCTATTTTTTGCCATGCTCGATCGGTTGAGGTGAATTTTAGCTTTTGTGCCACGCAAACTGTTGTCAAAAAAGGTCGAGTCGCTTGATTAAAGTTGAAACTAGAAGGAAATGATCAATTGCCTTGCACTAGGATTATTTTATGCGACTGCAATTACTTGCCCCATTTACAATGTTTAGTATTCGTACGCAAAGTTGATGACGCGACCACCCAACCTCACTCCCTAGTTATGTTTGTATGTACGTGTGCGCTTTGTTTGTGCCTTCAACTTCTATTGCAGGTTAGCTGAACCTAGCTATTTCCTTCATTCGCAGCAACATTTAAATATATTTATGAGGTATATTAAGCATTAAGTGATATTCAGCCAGTAAAGAAATGTAGCACACTGTGACGTAAAGGCTTGCATTTCGTCCAGTCGGTTCTCAACGCAACTCTCTTGGAGATCACTCATTGAGCATACGAGAAATGTCTACGAGTTAACTTTATTGCAAACACTTAAGAATTAATGCATTTTGTTCCTGACAGGTCTGTTCTTCATTTTAATTTATCCAAGAGACTTTCAATTGACTCAGGTCTGTGCAGTTTGCGTAGTCGAGAGTAGTGGTAAACTACTGTAATTTCCATTTGGTAGCTGCCTGTATAGTTTTGTTTCATTTCCCATCGCCATAGCTATTGCTTCAAATGTCGCCTGTATGTTACGTTATTTTGGGTAATTCTATCGAATTCGTTTCGGATGAATCCGTGAGAGTACGCACTCGTAATGGACTGAATAAATGTCTCAGGACCGTTTCTTCCGTTTGATGAGCAACCGAAACAACTGCGTCATTGACGTAGAACATCTATAGTTTAGTGTATAAGACCGGAATCGAAGGAATGAAGTGGAAGGATGTAGAATTTAAACTCCTGAGGATATTTTATTGGCGAAGTCTAGTGATCAGTAGTTTTGGTGGTTTAACAAGCAGGATATAATTTATTTGGGAAGTCTCAGTCAAATCCTGACGTCTTTTTTGTCCCACAGCGCCATTGGCTCACAGTAAAGAAGTACTTTGCCGAAATCAAGGCAATGCCAGCTATTTCACAGCATGACATGAATGTCTCCTTGTGTCAACACTCGAAGAACCACAAGACAGAATTTAATGTCTCATGGGCTTTGTACGAACTCTACACTCGATACGTTAGCCTCTGCTATGATGCCGTGAGTTTTGCACTCTTACTACAAGAGTCATTAAAATTTCCTTTGGTTCAGTAATAAATTTTTGCTTTTATTTTGCTATGTCATACAGATGCCCGAAGGACCTTGTGTAAACAAATGAGCAAGTGATATTGAAATTTGTGAGCAATATCAAGTCCCTCCTACTTGATAATCAGATTGTATTAAAATATTGTCGAGCTGAAAATCGACTAGTCACACATATAGGACCATTTTTGTTCTTACTCGAAATGGTGGAGTTGACTCTCCTTTCCGTCCTTCAATTGCAGCTCGTTGCGGAGTTAAGACCGGTGGTGACGCGAGAAGTCCCTACTTCGGATCTCTCCAACGTAATGGGAAGCATGGAGAGCTATCCCCATGAACATGGCACCACCAATTTGCGGGACGACTCCCTTCAGCATCAGAACGGCAATTGGAATTCGCTGTGCTTGCTACAGACTCTGCAGGAGGTCAACACTTGCATGATGGCTGTGGCCTGCAGCGACAGCAAAACAAGCAGCAACGACAAGCCCTCCACTTTCACACCACCACCATCTTCTTCTCAAGCATCAGTGCTTCAGCCTCATCACCAGTTAAATAATGACGGTGTCCAGTCAACTCTGCGCCCTGTGTTGTCTCATTTAAAACGGAGGCTGCCTCCACTTCCTACGCCTCCATGACGTCGAGTTGCTTTTGTAATAGAGCTCTTTCGTGCAACATTCACAATGCATTTAGTTTTACCTTGAGAAAGAGAGCGAATGAGAACAAGGACGGGAGGGAAATAATCAAACTTCTTTTACTACCTAAATACACATTCCATTTGGTTTCAACGAACTATCAAATTCTCCTTCCCTTCTTGCATTCAAAGCTCCGTGTTACTTTTTCCCACCTTGAACTATTTTTCCGCATCCATTTCACTTGTATCTTTACTAAAACATGTTAAAAAGGTACAATACTAAGCCCGAGAAATAGCGCTTTTTTCAAACGTTATTGTCTTCTCAATGGCCGTGACCTTTAAGTAAGAAAATCCTAGCAGTCGTTCTGGAATGCTACAGGTTTTAGTGATGGCGAACGCCACTGCAGAAGGCATCAGGTTTTGCGTCCGTCATTTCTCAACTAATGAGCCTGCTGATGGGTTACTGGAGTAGTGCCACCAAATTTGGGAGAACGACATTTGTAAGTCAGCGCTGATCTCAGCAACAAACGGTGAGTGCGTATCTGTGGTGACACCTTAGACGTCGAGGTCGTTTTCTGTGAAAAAAAGTGATCTTGCTGAGGCGGTTGAACCAGCATGCCTTAGACTGGCATACTTCTGCGCTAGTCATCGGTCTGTGTTTCCTTTACTGCATCGCATCCGATGCATTCATGTTTGTTAAGGAGGTTTATTCAGACATGCAATGGTCCATTACTGCTGTAGAGATAACAAAGGGAGACTCATAGACTCGCAATAGCTGCAGCCATGCCGTCCAATTCATTGATAGATGTCAAGCCAAAAATGCACTGCTTTACTGTTTCGTTTAGCGAATGAGTAATTATGGTGTCTATTTGCGCATCATGCGCCACCCATCATCCATCATTGGCAATGTTGAGGGTTCGTCTTTTACACAAAGATTGTCACTGTTATCCAATAGGATTTTTTAAGTATTTTTGCAGCTGTAAATTACTTATACGCCCGTGAGTAAAATAAGCATATAAACGAGCTGATCTCAGTTTTGCAAACGTCCGAGTTGTTAAGTCAGCACTGGTTTCTTTATGCAGTCGTGTTATGAAGCTAAGAATACGATTGAGGTACCTATAAAAATATCAGTTGAATTGACATCTACTTGACCCGAATGACATTCTCGCTACATCAGCATGACCGAGAAGGCGAAGCAAAGAATAGAGAAGTGCAGCACACCAAATGCACCATCTCTTGACTTTGACCGCAGCCCGTGTACTGCTGGCTGTGTCTACCGCATTGAAATGGAGGTGCAAAAGTGTGATGCATTAATTTACTTCCTTCTCATTTACGAATGCAAGGAACCCAACCGAGGAGGAGAAGGAACCACCGCATTTATCTTTTGTCCATGAGGTAAGCAGATCCATCGTCACCTTTAAACAGCACTGATGACGCGGCATGAGAACTAAATTTCACCCGATTCCCCTTTATTTCGAGATGTAAACGGTTTCGAGTTTCAAGGTACTCCTGCCAGTAGATATGCAGAAATTTGGAGTTGTAAAACTATTAGAAGTGATCCCTACCGATAAATAAAGTAATTGGAAGGGAATCGTAATGCAGGAAGAGGGGGCGAAACGTTAAGTACACACAATTCCAATTCTTCGTTTCACAGCATTCTGAGAACGGCGCCTTCGTTCCCCTATCAGTGTCATAAACATCAAAAGACTAGTACGTGTAAGTGCCCGTATTTTGTTACCAAGGCAATTTAAATCAGGTTTACAATTCACTCACCTTAGGAGCAAGGTGCTTTGAGTTTGGGATCACCTCCCCCTTAAAATTGCTCGATTAATTAAAATGGAATTGAGAGAGTGGCTACCAGAGTGAGACGTCTCAGGCACATTAAAAGCTGTATGAATAGATACATTCAGTATTTTTAATGATTTGTTGCAATAGTATCAAATCGGTGTATGCAAGCCGAACTTTCGAAAAAATTAACATTTTATGATTGCAACACAGTTTGTTTTGTGTGAGAGCGCTTCTTCGCTCTGAGTAGTTAAGCTGCACCAATCATTGGCGAATTCAATCAGTCTAACATAAACATAAGCATCGATGCTATTTTGCCAAGAGGAGGTGTTTGTATCTATGCCCTGCTTAATGAGTGAAATTGGAGTTTCAGTGAATGAAACACAAATGTGGTTACTCCGATTGAATGGCCTAAAAGCTTAACTGAAATGCAAAGGAAGTCAAGATGATCGCTGGAAACTCCAATGAGAGTGTCACGACATCCATTTTTGGCTGTATCTGAAGGTCAGTGGACTAATTAGTAGGTCAGTTGCACGTACCAATGGTCGCGAACTAATACCCGAACCAGCCAACCAACGACAGTGGTGCTGATCGTGCACACAATGATGGTGCTATACATGCAGTTGCACACTGTTTACCTGGCAGATTGTGCACAGTTGGTTGCATTCTGATTGCCTTCACACCACAGCAAACACTCACCTATGTAGGTTCCTCTTCTAATACGCTTGAGTTTATTCAGCTCCGCTTTATGTTTTCCGCTTACAGCTTCCTTGTATTGGTAAAACATTTCAATTCTCCTCATATCCTCAATCTCATAACAGTGTTCTTTGCTGGGCTTAGCGTACTCCATTTTTTCCCCACATTGTTCGACCTTGTCACGTGGCGGTGACACGTTCTCGACGGAGCACGACAGTATCTGGAAAACTCGAGTCTGGGACTAACTGACACAGTTCTTGTAATCACTACAAGAGGGGTCGAGGAATAGCTCGGAGGACAGGCCATGATGCAGTGTCTGCTGCGTGGATGGGTGGGCGGTTAGAGTCAGTTATAAATGAAATAAGTTAATTCGTTTATGTCTCAGTATGACCAAATTCATAGCGCAGTCCTGAGGCTCTAACGCTTGCCACTTGGACCAGCTCCCAGAGCCACACTCACACTAGATGAATGACTTAATCGCACAGCGCTGTCGCACCCACTCGCTTTTCCTTTCTCGGAATCACGATTAACTTGACTTGGCCAAATCTTGGAAAAAGTTGGTGAAGGGGTGCCTCTTTACGTCGTACTCTACTTTCTCAAGATTTTCAATTACTTACAAGAAAATTGTCTCTGCGATGATTTTGTAACTATGCGCAGCTACCTACTTTTTCACCACCAGGCGCTTATGCTCATCGCATACATTGTGCGAAGCTCTTCACTCTTATCTACTCTTATGTAAGCAAGTGATGCCCGGCCTCTTTCGTTGACATGGCTATGGGTGGTCACAGATGCTTGTGTTTCTCTGCTAAGTCCTTCCCAGCCTGCACTGACTTTAGCACGCGCCATCATTCGGCAGTTCCACATTTGGAACATATTTTACGCAAACTCTAGTAGTTGCCGGCACTCCGCATGCAAAAAGTGAATAGTCACGCGAACTGACTTGCCTCTGGTAAAGAAAGGTTTTGAATGCTTTATTATGTCATTGACACATTTGCCCCTCATTTCTCCCTCTTATGCCCAATTTCTCTAACATCTGATATTGCCTATTAAAAAGGAAGCGGCATCTACTTTCAAATTTTACTTACACTCTTTGAATGGCAGGTAGCCTAGAATGGTTTTAGTTTGTTTCCTTGTCAGTGTCGAACTACTGTAGAAAATGCATCTGAAGAGGAATAGTGAACCCCTATCTTTCTGTATTTTGCTAGCTAAAGAGTAGGTAATTGATATGAATAAATACTTTCGTGACATAGCTTAGGATGGCATTTAGGCATTCGCGTGTTCATGTCCCGAATACAGCAGCCTGCTTCTAAGCTATGTGCCCTTCCTTGACTAAATGCTTTTAATATCAAGCATAAACTATATAAAAGCATGGACTTATACAATTAATCTATTTTCTTAAAAGTAATACTAATGAGATTGAAGCAATGCGATTAATGAACGGGACAGAAGAGTTACCCCGCCTATTGGCATAAGAAGGTGAACTGCTAATAGATGCAAATGTAGATCATTTTCCATTCCTATACCACAAGATTTTAGGCGAACTCGTAGATGGGTGGGATGGCCTAAGAGGCGACAACTGTGCACCCGCTGAACCAAACATGAGCAATACAAACGCTTCCAATTCAGCGAATACCTCCATCACCTCTGACACCCTGAGCAATGAACACAGTCCCGTGTGGAGTATCCCGTGGGAGGGAGAGAACACCTTTACAGCCCCTTCCAAGCCAACCGGTTGGGATATTCAGCAACTCCAATACTCGTGGCGTCGAAAAGCGACTCCAAACACTCCCAACGTCTCTCCGTTTAAAGAAGACATTAGTCTGGAGGATCTTCTCCGAAAGAAAAGCCACATCTTACAAAATATTGCTCAACATTATTCACGACTTGTAGGACTGATGCAGGAGGAGCTTGTATGAAGCCTCTAGTTTGTCCTAAATTTTACTCAATTACAGTTGAGAGGTAGAGTGGATAGAGATAGACTAATCACTACTGATACTTGAGCACACAACTATGTTGTCATCAAGGCAAAAACCTGGTGCTCCTTTGTTCTATCATTTTGCATCAATCTGAATCCCATCACTGACTTCTATGTGCTGTCCTCATTGTTTGCTAATAATATCTAAAAGTGGTAAAATTACGACTAGATTGTCACTAGCCTCAACCCTTTTAATGGTCATGATGCAGTTGCGTTTTTCGGAAGAAGCAAACAAATCAAGCGCAAAACGCAAGTTTGAAACTGATTGGAGGGAGTGGCATTTCGGTAATGCGTGCCATTGAGAATTCGTCACTTATAAACAAAAAAAAAATTAAGTTACCATAATATAGGCTGAGTTATTGTATCTAATTTTTCTAATAACCTGAATTGACAATACTATTGTGCTGGCGGAGTTTGTTGGCCAACCACATTTACATCAGACTCGTATCTTTGAAGGACATCACCGGCATTGAACCGGAGGGCTACGCGGAATCGATGCGGTTTTACAGCAAAGCTGTCGATGACTATGAGTGCTTCCAGATATTCACCGATTCTCTGGTCGTCACGGTCAGTCAAGAAGTGGAAGTCAATGCTGGTAAGTGGTCAGATGGTCAGGCATTCACCTCCCATGAGTAGGATCCTAAACCACGCTCCACGACTATCCCATATCAACAGGCATTTTTTGGCTGAAGCGCACAATGCACATGTCTTCTGCTTAACTTGCTATTCCTGCACTTCACGTGGTGTAGGAAGGTGGTGGCTGCTTTTCATCTTTAATCTGATTTGTCAGTAGAGATTTGCTTGCTTTTCCTCCGAGCCTTGAGATTAGACAGCGCTTGTTGATCAAATGAATGCCCCTGTGGTGCGCCGATAATACGTAAACTGAAGTGTACATCCCTCTTGGTATCGCAGGCGTTATCATGTTGTCAACTTTTTTATAAGGATAGAGGCTTATTATAACCAAAATGTTATGTGCAGTGTCATGGCTAACATTCTGAGAGTTGGCAAATGCCAGAAAACCAGCTATGGAGCCTTTGAATAAAGGCAGTTTTGAGAAAAAATCCTCACAACGATGCACTAGAGCACGAATGCCGCCACTCGCATGACGTGACGAGCATTCTGTCAGCGGATCCCCCACTTGCCATTTGGAGAGGCACTTTTAAGCCTGAGAACGTTAGTCCACCTTAATAGCATCAAACAAAATGTAAAAACACCTAGAATAGTAAAAAAGACTTAAGCAATGGAAGGTTTGATATTTGTTTACCTCTGATCTCTTTGATAAGCTTACTTTGGGTAATTTATTTATTTTCCTAGTCATAGTTGCAGTAACATGTACAGATCAAAGATTTGTCACAAGGTGTACCACAATCTATGCCCGACAAAAGGGGTGGCTGATGGTTGGAATCGTAGTGCGTTCGACGTACTCAACTCTCAGTAGCCGAACGCGGTTGTGAAGTAACTTGCTGCGGATGGATGGAGAGCGCTGTTGACCCACTTAGTACTGCCCTTGTGTCTCAAACATATTTCACATGTGCATAGATCAGCAAAAGAGAAGAAAGTGCAGAAATGACTCCCCCTTCCAAAGTTTCCTCCACACAAATATCAGAGCTTTTAAGAAACTATATGTGCCTTGCAAATACTTGCAAGCGGATCATCTACTGACATCGTTTTTAGTGAAAGGCTGAAATGAAGTGCGGCTTCACTACTGAGGTGCTTATACGAAAGACAGCAAATAACGCATGAGCGACGCAAGGCGATCAAGTTGCTCTGCTCTGCTCTGCTCTGCTCTGCTCTGCACGCACTTAAGGAGGATTAGAGTCCTCTTTGCTGTAATAGTGACCTCGATGAGGTGGGAAGTGAC